GCCTTCTTCCCTCTCGCCGCCCTCGCCGGCGTTTTCTTCCCGCTTCCGCCGCCTCTCTTCACAACTCGAGGAGGCATCTCGAGATCGCAGAACTCTTAAAAAGTTCGAAACTTTAGATGAAAATGAGAGGGATCAGAGCTAAAACCCTAGAAATTAAGGACGCCAGCAGTTGAGAAAGAGAAACCCTAGATCTTGCGGTGCCCTACTTATAGCGCGAGGAGAAAAATACGAGGCCGAGGATTGAGAATTTGGGATGGGTTCGGAGTCGAACTCGAAAAGGGTTGCGTTAGCTATGGTAAGGGGCATAAAGGAGGGAATAATAACGAGAACGCCACTTGATAGATTGACCAAGTTGTCCTCGCTGAACGGTTCTTGCGAGAGCTGTGACTGATGACATAGCGGCACGAGAGTGAGGGTGTTTTGGTCATTGGAGATGCAGCCGTGATTGGGTATGTGGATTTTTGGGTTCAGGGTGAAGTTGGGGTTATGTTCGACCCGGCAGGTTGACCCAGCTACATTTTTTTTTTCTCTTGTGCCTTCTGAGCCCTTTTCTGCAATTGTCCTATTTGTTTTTTTTTTGTCGTTTTGTATAGTCTAATCACAAATTTTTGGGTACGTAGTGAATGCACAATGTATGAAAATGTTTGCGTTTAGACATAATTTGATTCATTAATATTGGGAAATTAAGAAGTCGACGTTTTCGGTTGTATGTAGCACGTTGGTCTCATTTAGTAAAGGATTAAGTTAGGAATCTAGGCCGAGATTGGCTTTGACTCGATAAATTGATTTTGTTTTGATCCGAGGAAAGACGGATCAGAAGGAATCAATCCGGTGATATAACTTGGATTCTATTTTGGAAGATTGCCAAACACGCAGGATGGAGGTAGCTAATAAAGGGTGATGCCAAACAAACAATTATCACCAATTAGTGACACTAGTATAATATTGTTAAGTGTTGAGTAGTGACTCATTTAAGAAAAGTTAGTTAGTATATTCATTGGTGCATTTGCTTATTAAGTTAGCATTGGTATTACCAATTACAATTGCGATGGAAGTTATAAAGAATCATCTATGAATCAGAAAGAGAAATTAGCGGATAGACGACAGCTTAGTAACTTATATTAAAAATGATATATTTAGTGGTATCTTAAATAAGGCTATAATGCAACAATGTCTACACATGGAGGCAACATAAAGGTCCATTGTATTTGTTTTTAGTTAAATATATCTTTTATATATCGTTTAAGTTCCCGATTCCGCCGCTGCAAACATGCCTAATATTTCACTAATTATGTATTGGCCTAAAGCATAAATAAAAAATTTTATAAAATTTTGACATATTCTAAGAACATTTCATCTGTGTAGACAAGGAAGTCACGTTCCAAATAGCAGTTCGACAAAAAGTCCAAACAAGGAAACATAAATCCACAATTTTAGAAAACGCTTTTAGAGAAACAGAAAATATAGTGTTAAACATAACATTTTTGACCTTTCGTACAAGAATCCGCCTCCAAATTAGAACAAAGCAACAAATTTTCGTTTTTTTTTTTTTTTTTTTTTTTGGTTTGGTTTCTGGGATTCAGTATTTAATAGGAGCACACAGAACAAGCCACAGACTAATCTTCTGCTGTTTGAAAGAAGGCTTCAACCTCTGCAATGCTGGCTTCAGCTTCATTTATCTCTGTGCCTTCTTGGTTTGACTCCTTAACCTCTACCTGCAAAATACCCTCGAAATACAATATAGTCTTAACTTTAAGAAAGGAATATTATGTGTTTTAATCGTTCGTTCAATGTGAAATCAACGTTACCAGTGTTGCCTTCAAGTCTGCAAGGGAGGACTCCAGTCTTTTGCGGCAATCGGGGACCATCATTCTTGACTCTGCCAGCACATTCTCCTGTTGATATCATTAAAATGTTCATTAAGGCGACGGCTAAACTGTGCCTCACTACAGCCTCAGTCTAAAAGAGCACATGCTTGAGAATCTGGAATTGGATAGAATTTCAGCACTGTGATTCAGAACCTATTGTGTGAGCTGAAAGAGAAATGACCAAGGAGCCCTAATGTTTTAATACCTATCGCTTCTGTTCAAACTGATATCGAGAATGGAAATGATGAGTTATATAACGTAGTTCCACGTGAGAGTTTTCTCGCATGGGCAAATATGTAGGGTGAATGCCATACCTACAGAACCAGGAGATGGATGAGCCGTATTCTCTTTTTTTTGGAAAGGTTTTCCCATATATATCCCCCAGATCTATTATATTTCCAAATTTATTCCTCAAATCTAGATATCTGCTAAATGACAGCACAAAAAAAGGGGAGAAAAAAAATCCTACATTGGTTTTTTCCTACCCCTCAATTTCCAATAGGATTAATTACATTTCGGTGCCCTGTCGTATGATGTAACTACATGCGTGACCCTGAGGTTTAGGTATCTACAAGGATAACCCCGAGTTTGATGGCCAATGTGAAAGTGCTAACGGAGCATAACTTTGCATATGAAAAAGATAAAAATGCCCTTTCACACAAACACAATATTCATAACATTTGGTGGGATTTAATCCAAGTTGCTTATGTGGAATGTAGGGGACCATACAAAAGTTCAGTGATTGAAACAAGCTGAATGAATTACTAACGAGGGTTATTTGCATATATATACACCTCTTAAATCATCGGTATTTGCAAAAATACCCTCCAAATATCAGCATTTAGCAAAACTACCCCTCAAATCATCAATGTTGGAAAAAATTACCCTCAAAGCAATTAATCATCAACTTTGATAAGTTAATTTGTAATCGCAATGCAAAAATTATCAACGAAATAGTGAAATTTTTAGCACCAAGTTGAGGATTTGTTGATTTTTAGCACCAAAATGTGGGGGTATTTTTGCAAATACCCATGACTTAAGGGGTATATATGGAAATAAACCTATTAAGAAACAAATCCTTTTATGAAGGGTTTTTAGAAATCAATCCCTCAAATCTTTAGTAATTCCATAATAGCTCCTCAAATCTTTAGTAATTCCATAATAGCTCCTCAAATCTTTGAAATTGCTTAAAATTTGAGGGACTAATATAAGATTACTGAAGATTTGCGGGACTAATATCTAAATAACCCTTTTATAAAATGATTTGAGGGACTAAAGATTTGACGGCATAATTGAAGATTTGAGGTAATTTTTTTTAACAAAATGCCAAATGATATGATGGACTAATCAGGGTTACCTTTGTAGATACTCAGACCCCGGGGTTATATAGATGCAATTACGTTATACCACAAGTCCCAGAGTGTAAAAAAGGGTAGTTTAGAAATTTCCATATTGTCTTAGTTGACATATTAGTTAAAAAAACAGTTTTTAGAAACCATTAGATTTTAGGCTGCGATGATACAAGTTAGCGATCTCAGGGTTATTCGTGTAGATACAAAACCTCAAGATCACTCGTGTAATTACATTATACCACAAGGTACCGGACTGTGATTTTCCTTTGCAATATATCAAGAATATACCCCAGATTAATTGAATTAATTTTATTAGCTTATACTTCATAATTAGAGAGACAGAGAGGGAGGGAGGGAGGGAGAGGAGGGTGGTAAATTAGTATCTAGTTTCTCCTCTATCTAGCTAACTTTAAATTAATTAACTCAATCAGCTTATATTAGTGTGTCATTTGAAAAGTGAAGGGAATAAAACCAATGTGGCTGATTTTTTGGTAGTGCAACTATACGATAGATTTGGGGGTATATAAGCAAAACCCCTTTATTTTTATGCTATGATGATATGATCAGTGATGACTAAAGTAGATGTAGGCAGTAGGCACGTCCTTCATAAGAAGTTGAGTATCAATTCTTCAGCAGTAAGAGCATAGATAGGAACATAAATTCTGCACTTCCATCCCAGATTTAATTTTCAAATATTTACTTGGTTTAGCATCCACCCTAGTCCTAAGTATGTCAAGCAGTTTCATCATTATGGTCGATAGTCAAAATTCAGTATGCAATAATTTACTTCCAATTAGAAACTTATATTCCCAGGTAAGAAATCATTGGATGTGCCTAAAGCTCAATATAGTGCAGAAATCACAACTAGGAAGGTGCTAAATACTGGATGCCTTCACAATGCAGGGAGTACAAAAACTTCTTTTGAGAAAAAGGATGCAGCCTTCATCATCAATGCCCCAGTCTTCTAAAGGAGTACAAAAGCTTCACTTCAAATAAAGGCTAATGTCATCTAAAGCAAAATGCAAGTTTGAAATGAAAGAATACACTATAAAGGAAGATGATTGGCTGGTCAAGATACCTACAAAGGGGAAAACAAAACAAAACAAATGCTTTGCAATGCTATGGATGTGGTACTATACATGTACACATTATGTAGATCCTAAAAATTCAGGATAGGGATATGACTTAGATACAAAAATATACACACAAATTAAAGTCGACATGTGATGATTTAGCAATACTAGAATAAAAGACTTAGCAAGATATTATAAAATAAAATTCAACTCAAGTTACCTGAATGATCATTATTACGATTTAAGTGAGTGGACAAACTATATAAATGCATATTGAATGTCATTATTAACAATCTAGTCACTATATTTTTTATACACCTATAATATGTTTAAATTTTGGGCAAATAAAAAGCAGTATCCTATCTGCTAGGATACGACTACGAGTATGACTCCTCTACGAAGTGTCCACAATGCGCAAAATAGGAGTCAATCTCCTCTATCAGAGTAGACAAACCTACCACTTCATTCTCCAAAAGCATGCAATATGAAAACTTAAGTTTATTAAAAGGGTAAAGTGAGATGGGCACAACTTTATCAGTTGATTGAGGTTTAACTATCCTGACAAGACACTTTAAGATATAGCCTGATAGACTTTAAAGGTTACAAACATGAGATTACTAGATTAATAAAGTAATTTCAGTTTGTAAGAAACTTATATTTAAGCTGAAACTTGAAATTCATGTATTGGAAAATCTGGTCCTTACTAGAATATAACCAGATCACAATAGACAAAAGCTTTTTAAATTCTCTGAAAACTAAAATCGTAGTTATAATTTCTATAAAAAATTTCTTTGAAAACTAAAACCCTAGTTATAACTTATCTCTTATAGATAAGTCCATAAGAAGAATACAGCTAAAATAAAAAATTCTCATGATAAAAGAAGTTTTGGCTTAGTATCTTTTTGTCTCCTTTTATTTTTTGTGATTATTATAGCTGCAATAGTAACTTTTTTCCTTTTCTTCATTTGTTTATTTGGGATCTCCCAAACGAATGTTGTTCAACATCAGCTTTTCCCAGTTTGGAGAAAACTAGAAGTAGAGTTGTAAATAGAATCAACTTGAAGTGACCATGAATTCAGATTTGTTGAAGAGATACATAAAAGATCGTCCTGCATGAAAAGAATCAATTTGAAATGTTGTTGATGTCATCACGTCAATACTGTGACGCCTCGTTTGGTACGCGGGAATGGACAGACTTGGGAATGGAATGGAAGAAGGAATGGAATGGATTGCATGTGGGAATGGAATGGTCATTCTCATTCTCTTGTTTGGGTGCATTCGTAGAATGAAGCTAGAATGAAAATCTCATTCCCATTCCCATGTTTGGTATCATTAGTACACAAGTGAGAATGAAATCTTATTTTCTAATAATGCCCTTACAATAACATAGATTTTTAATAAGATAAAAAATAAACATTAATGATAATAACTAAATAATTTTATATACGCATATGTTATATTAATCTAGGTATGTGTTATACTAATGCTCGTGTTATCCATCAGGTGTATGTTTCGTTTATATTTTTTAAACAATACTCGCTATTTCTTAGTCTTAAAAATTAAAGAAAAAAAAAGATTATCGTATCTTTCATAGGTCCAAAAAAAAAAGAATGATATCCACAATCCACAGTTCTAGATATATAAATTAACTTATTTGATAAAGTATCAAAATCACTCAATTCATAATAGCAAAAATCCATAAAACAATACCAACTAAAATAATAAGTTTCGAAATAGCAAAATGATATACTAGCCTAAATTGTCAATCTAAAATTGCCCACTTGCATAGCGCCTCACCCAAACATTCTTTATTATTAATATGGATATAATTGAAAAATACCTAACTAGTTTTTGATTCTCACTTGAATGGGAATGACCATTCCTTATCTTCTCACTTGGAATGCTCATTCCCACAAATAGTGGGAATGATCATTCCTAGGGAATGGTCATTCCAACATCTAAAATATAGGTGTGTTTGGTATGAGGGAATGGGAAGTGGGAATTGCATTCCATTCCTCCTCATTCCCGCGTACCAAACGAGGCGTAGGTGTGTTTGGTATGAAGGAATGGGAAGTGGGAATTGCATTCCATTCCTCCTCATTCCCGCGTACCAAACGAGGCGTTAAGGAAATTATAAGAAACTGGCAGTCCATTCCCATGTTTGGTATCATTAGTACACAAGTGAGAATGAAATCTTATTTTCTAATAATGCCCTTACAATAACATAGATTTTTAATAAGATAAAAAATAAACATTAATGATAATAACTAAATAATTTTATATACGCATATGTTATATTAATCTAGGTATGTGTTATACTAATGCTCGTGTTATCCATCAGGTGTATGTTTCGTTTATATTTTTTAAACAATACTCGCTATTTCTTAGTCTTAAAAATTAAAGAAAAAAAAAGATTATCGTATCTTTCATAGGTCCAAAAAAAAAAGAATGATATCCACAATCCACAGTTCTAGATATATAAATTAACTTATTTGATAAAGTATCAAAATCACTCAATTCATAATAGCAAAAATCCATAAAACAATACCAACTAAAATAATAAGTTTCGAAATAGCAAAATGATATACTAGCCTAAATTGTCAATCTAAAATTGCCCACTTGCATAGGCCTCACCCAAACATTCTTTATTATTAATATGGATATAATTAAAAAATACCTAACTAGTTTTTGATTCTCACTTGAATGGGAATGACCATTCCTTATCTTCTCACTTGGAATGCTCATTCCCACAAATAGTGGGAATGATCATTCCTAGGGAATGGTCATTCCAACATCTAAAATATTGGTGTGTTTGGTATGAGGGAATGGGAAGTGGGAATTGCATTCCATTCCTCCTCATTCCCGCGTACCAAACGAGGCGTGATTGTAGATCTGTTCAACGTTGATATTAAATGATGAAGAACAAATTTGGAGATGGTTTCAAGCTTTTAGGTCTTGAGATTTGCATTAAAAAAATGAGACAGAAAAGAAAAAGGAAGAAAAAAGGGATCAAGTTTCATATTTCTTTGAGGTTTCATATCTCGCAAAACTAGAGTTTATACCTAAGATTGCATCACATAATCAAAAGTTTGAGAAAGACTACTATCACTTACAAAAATCTAAATTTTCATAAGTATCTTCATCCTTTATTCAAGAAAAACTAGTCTTTTATAGACTAAACAAAATTTGTTCATCAAAAAATCTATGGACTTACAAAAATCTAAATTTTCATAAGTATCTTCATCCTTTATTCAAGAAAAACTAGTCATTCATAGACTTAACAAGAAAGATTTCCAATCGAACTTAGAGTAAATGAATTTCCTAATAATTAATCTCTCAAATGATTTGCTAACAAAAATTTTAAATCAAATCAACTAGGTCATAATCTATAGCTTGCCCTTCATAGATCAGGATATAAGAAAATTTCCGCTAAGAAAACACAATTCTAATTCGCACAAAAGAAGCAGCAAAGTTCAACTAATATAGAGTACGTAGAAACTTAACACACTTCTTCATATCATTCTTTCAGCCTTACAGAGAACTTTTTAGCATAATCGTGTTCACTTGGAAACGATGAATAAAATGGGATAGGCATATGTTTTAAGTTGTCAATGATCAGATATGAAGTTATGAATAGAGGTCCTTTCAACCTCTTGAAACCTGATGGCTGATATCATGTCAAAAGACCTCTTCATCAAAACTTCTAAAGCTAATCTAAGATCTGAATGAGCACACAAACAAATAAAAAACAGGATTCTGACTTTTCACCTTTTTCTGGTCACAGAACATCTCTCTAGATGGATCAACATTTTTCATGACAACATCTGAAACATCCTCAAAGGCTAAACTACGCACAGCGGGAAATTATCTGTTCCAAGACTCCCCAAACAAGCATTTTTTCACCTCTAAAAGCTAGTTGTTGGAGAGAGGCAACCGAAATCTCTTATAAACCCACAAAAGAGACACATTTAGTCAATGTGAGACTAAATGGACCTAACATTATACTTGAGCGCAGTTAGGTGGTCCACATGTACATAAGTGCGGGCAATAGGACAGCTAAAAAACAAATATAACCTTGAATTACGTTGATCCATCCAAGGATGGATCTATTTGGCTGGTTGTCCGCGCACTTGCCCTAGAGAATTCTAAGTTTTCTATTAAGAGTACACAAATTTATAAAGGTGCCCCCATACATTTGGTAACTTCATACAATTACGAAGGATAATTACCAGAAACTAAGTAGTATTTTGTAGTTTTTGTGATAAAAATGGCCATAAATTGGTATGAAAATAATAATGAAAACTATTATATCTTAAGATCTTTGTGACTATTGTATAAATAAGATTTTCTATTGGTACAATTTATATTTTATGTTATTATTTATATGTACATTTTTTTGAGGGAGTGTTTATATGTATAATTGTATATCTGCCCCCCATAGGAAAAAAAATTATGGATTCATCCCTAGATCCAATGGCGGATCTACCCTAAGGGAAATAGTGTCACGTGACACCACTTCCCTTAAAGGACCCCACCCTGCTCCACATAAAAACTAGTGGCAAATAGTTGTAATAAATGGTTATATCCAAAATTTGATAAATAATGGTAATAATTGATATATGATGTTGAGTCAGTTTATAGAACAAATCATGTTACACCAGATCATTATTTAGATCCGGAGTTAGAAACTATTAAAATTTAGGTAGCTAAACTGGTTCTGCTGTTCAAGATCAATAATTCATTAAACTAAAGCAATAATTGATGAGAAAAGCTAGGAGAATTAGAGAAAAGCATTGAGCCAAAGTAGTAGAGAGAGGATGTGATTGAATTCAGGAAAGTGGCGTCACATGGCTACGACAACTTTGGAAAGAGATTTTCCGCAATGAAGTTGATAAAGAGCAAGTTGCTAAATAAAATGATCGACCTAATGATTTATTAGCTACATATATTGAGAAAGTTGTACTTGAAAGTGTTATCAATAATGAAATTATGTACTATTTTTCTAAATGTGAAAACTCATATAGGACGATAGTAATTTTTTTAATAATTAATTATATCCTACATCGTTCACTGCTTGGATCAATCCATGATCGAGCAGGACATTTAAACAGACCAATTGGTACCACCCAACTCAATTGTGAAGCACATTACCGTACAAAAATCTCGAACAAAACCATGAGGGCTCCATGGATAAAGTAATCAGTTCAAACTGCTTCTCAATTGACTCTTCTACTATAAAGACTCCATATGCAACTAAATTCTAAATTCAATTTTATCAAAATAACTTTTTTGGACTTGCCAATTCCACCCTAGTAAATTACAATGTTCGGCTTCAAAGTCCAATTTGAGGAAATCAACTCCAAATCTCAAATTGTACAAAACCAAAAGTTGATTTTTTTTTTCTCCCGATAGAAATCAACTTAATCCCGTCAAAAAGCACGAGGCAATTAGAGAAGTTACAACAGATCTAGGGTTTCAGAGAAAAACGAGATCACCTGCTGCTTGAGATCGTAGGGATCGGCGCCTTTCTCCTTCATGTCGGCGGTCTTCGCCGCTTCTCTCTCGACCTCCTTCTCGTAGTAATGGAGCTCCTTGAGCACGCGCTTGCACGTGCTCGTCTTGATCTTCAAATTTCGAAGCGTCGCCATTGATCAACAACAATCTCTCGCTGTCTCCAGTATTGGAACTGAGTTGAGAGTGAGTGGGGACGGGAGAATCATATAAAGGGTTAATTTCACAAAACCCCCCGAACTTTGGGGAAAGTTATCTAACATAATCCCTTGAACTTTGGGGCGTCACACGAGTCCCCGTGAACTTTTTAACCTTATCTCGCCTGATCCCCTTGTGTAATTTAGAAGTAATAAAATGTTATTGAGAGAACTATGCCAAAAAAAAAGCTATTGAGAGAACAAAATTTAGACTTTGTCATTTATAAAATATATTCTCTGTTCCGTAAATTTTGGGTTTTTTCTCAAGAGAAAATCTTAGTTATTTTCAAATTATATATAGGGGTCTCAAATATAAATTTTTGAAATTCAGGAGAGTTTTGTGAGATGTGACGCCCTTAGTTTCACATACGGTTGCAGTCCAAGGTGAACATAAAGATATCAAATATGTCATGCACCACACACTGTGCATAAACATGCTTCACTGTCACAATCGCTATCACTCTAGCAGAAGTCAAATGTGAAGTAGTGAGGGTACAAGCAAATATAAAGAATAAAAATACAAGGAACACAATGTAGAGAAGAGATATCCAATAGTATCTATAAATATGTCCCAACAGAAGAACAGAAAGTACATCTGATAAACCGAAATAAAAACAATGAGTCTCTAAAGCATAAGAGTCAACTAAATAGTACTAAGGCTCTCAGCCTCCAAAATAAAATATATCTCTAAAAGACTACAACCATAAACAGTCCACTGTGGAGCACCAACTAGCTACATATGAATGACGGTAATCTATGCTGAATCTTCGTCAATTTGCTGCACTCCGAATTCCCGACCCGCTACTTGAAAAAGGTGAAAACAACGAGCGTCAAAGCACTAGCAAGAACATCTCCCTCCGCCCCCGGGGGGAGTAACGCCTATATAATACTAAACATAGCATACCTATATGTATCATCTATCATGTACTAATAGGAGTTAAGATTTAGAAATGCACAACACGAGATGAGTACATCGAGGGAATAATCCAAACAAGGATACCCTCGTATATACCATGTATCTCAAATTGTAAATAGCTAACTATCAACTCCAAACCCAAAGAATAAGTAATAAAGAAGTACATCATAAACAACTCATCCAGGTGCATGTTATGTCATAGTATCTCACACTACTCTCGGTTAAGTGGCACGGGAGCAAATACACAATTATGTGTAATCCTTACCAAAGATATGCACCATCGCAAAATATACCTTAATGATGAACTACATCCATAAACGGTACCAACCTAAGACCCAGGCGATTAAATATTTCATAATGTTATCGCTCGCAAAATCATGCAGCTCATCGCATTATCATGCGGGACGGACTACCCACTAGGGCATCCTACGGAGTATAGGTGCATCGGCCTCATCGCATCATCATGCGGGACAGACTACCCACTCGGGCATCCTACAGGGTATAGGCGCATTGGCCAACTCTAGTATGGTGTATCGACGCACTACCCTAGGTAATATTGAGCTATGCCCGTCAACGGTACCCATGCAAACATTTGCAACTCTAGGTTGTCATCTCCTATCGTGACGAAACCTAACACATGAGGTTACACACTCCTAAGAATCCGTGCATGCTCAAAACCCCACACGTGCACCTCATGACAGTGCACGCGTATCAATGTATGGGACCGTATATCGAGTCTGCGACTAAACGTGCATGGAAGATCAACAAACACAAAATAGCACCAAATCAGTCGACTGATATCTCACCAGTCGACCGAACAGTGATCAATCGATTGATTTCCCATCAGTCGACCGATCAACGATCATGCACAAAATACAAGTCCCAATCGATCGACTGATTATCTCTTAGTCGACCGACCCGAGAGGTTTGAAAAATCTTGAGATGTCGATATATTGACTGATCAATGGGGTCAGTTGATAGACCTAAACACTAAACAAAAAATTTCTAGTTTTCTACAATTATACGATTTTCTCATAATATTGTAAAATTTTAACATAAGGTATGAATCATGTTTTAAATCTTGTATTTACTAAAGTGGGGTTTGGCCAAATAAGTTTCATCAAAAAAAATCATGGTTTTGGGATCCAATTTCCCTAAACTTCACCAAACAAAGTTAACTCAATTAATTAGGATTTCTAATCCTAATCAACTTATTAATTAGCAAATATTTAGTGTTCTATTCATCAAGATTAGATCTTTTCATTCTTTTGTGATTAGATCTAAAGTTCTATTCATCAATTTAGGGTTTAATCCGTCAAAAAATTAGATCTTTTCATCGTATGCAATTTGATCCCTTAAATGTATAATTTCATACGATCTTGCTTCACAAAGGTTATAACTCTCGCCTTCCTTTTGAACTTTGCTTCACAAAGTTTTTCCAAATCCGAACAAATTTTTTAGGGTTTTGAGGGGGAAGAGGGTGCGGCTGCTCAACATGAGAGAGAAGGGGAGAGAGGAGAGAGAAGAGAGAAGAGAGAAGAGGTAAATGTTACGAAACTTTACCCACAATACGATCTCAACATTCTAAGATTAATGGTGCAAACCTCGTGTCCATCTAATCAATAGAAAAAATTACAAAAAATAAAAATACGGCTGATTTCAGCAGACTCGCGATACCGAGGCTAAAACTGCGAATCGATCTCAAATCGATTCCAATCTGATCCATTCCCAGAATGATCACTAACCATAATAGAACTCATTTATTATCATTTAAAATTATTTTATTTTTTATTTTTTAGGGTTTTACATGAGACATCCCAAAGATCATAGTTTACGTGAGATAAATAAAGTTTAAGGGTTATTTAGGGGATTATGGGCAACACCCCCAAATGTTTTTTTTGGGGGGTGGGGGGGGTGGGGTTGGATTTGAGCGAGTGATGATGAACCAAAATTGTAAAAAACATTTTGTTGCTCGAGAAAGTTAAATTTCACAAAACTCCTTGAGATTTGGGGTGTTTGGTAGGGGTGTTAACAGAGTGGATACGGTTCAGATATGACACTTACCATATCCATATCCGCTCTCTATAAATGGATATGGATACAGATTATCTTCGGTAAGGAAAAACCTTAACCATATATGCACTCATCGGAAACAGATACGGTTCAGATATTTGAGAATCAGATCGGATACGATCACGAATATGAAACAGATATTCGACAAATGGATATGAATCGAATATGAATCATTACACCTATGTATAAATTACAACCAAATGGGTAAATGTATGTGGTTGTAGGCTTCTACTTGCATAATTGTATGGGGCATAAGATGTATGAGGGTGCGTCCTATTAAATTATCATTTAAGTAAAATATTCATGAAATGAATAATAACTCTAGTAATTCTAGAATTCATCCTACCAATTAGTTCTCTAATTAGTTATCCTAAATATGATCATTTTGAGCACAAGAGAGTAATTCACAATTCATAAAAGAAATTAAACTAGTTTCATACAATTCTAGAATTTCTACAAGAATTAGTTCAACATCTTAGAAAATAAAAAAAAAAATAAAGGGAGAGAATGTAAATAAAAACTAACTCTAAAGAGAGTTCTAGCCTCTAAGTGAGAGAATGAAAATAACAGAATGACCAAAAATAAAAACTAACTCCCTAGAGATTTCTACTTCTTGGTGAATAGTTCAAGAAAATAAAATCTAAACTATGCAAGAAAATAAATCTATACTATAAAATAATTGTAAGAAATTGGAAGTGATGCAAGCTGAATTCATACTCCGGGGGATGTAAATCGTCAGAAGCGTAATGTTAACTCGACGATGTTTGTAGATTTTGTCGTTGACAGAGGTATTCTATTGAACATGACAACTAAGAATATATATATATATATATGTGTGTGTGTGTGTGTGTGTGTGTGTGTGTGTGTGTGTGTGTGTGTGTGTATGTATATGTATATGTATATATATATGTATATGTATATGTATATGTATATGTATATGTGTGTGTGTGTGTGTATATATATATATATATATATATTCTAACAAAATGTTGTTCATAGTAAACATGCGATGATCATTTTTATTCCACTTGGATTTCTCCAAAATGGGCACAATATAAGCATCATCTATAATTTCCCATAAATCAAAATGTTTAGATCTAACAAATAGTTTAAATCTAACACACCATTGGGCATAGGGGAAATTGTCTAATCTAGGAGCAACACTAGAATCATAGCCTAAACAAGATGCATCATTCATATCCATAATTTGTAAAAATATGCAAGCAAGATACAAATGCAATCAAAACAAGATTAGCACAAAAATATAACTTGGATCTTTAACTCAAGGCGATTAGACCTTAAATCAAAGAGCACCAAGCTCTGATACCAATTGTTAGACCCTAGAGGGGGGGTGATTAGGGTCTTATGCTAATCTAATCCGATTTAAATGCCAATTAAAACTAATTAATAAGTTATCCTAGCAAGTATGAAATACAACAAGAATATAAGCTAGGATAAGCAATATGAACAATGAGATATATCCTATATGATAGAGATATATGCAAGGATATATAAACAACACAAGGGTAAATAATCTAAACAAGATAGTGGATGAAATAGATAATGAGCTAATGACAATGGCGATATAAGATATGAACATAAATATGAATGAACGCCAAAGCACACTCAAACAAGCAATATGATCACGGAGTTCGGACCTTCCGTCCTACGTCTCCGCTCCCCACTCCCGGGGAGAAATCCACTATCAACCGGGTTTTCTACGTTCACCCGAATAACGTTTACACCTCACAGTATCGGTTTTCAACGCTCACCGATCAACGTCACTCCTCACACTCGGTTTCTAGCTCACCGAAAACCTCACTACACACTCGGTTTCTAGCTCACCGAAAACCTTACAACACTCACAATGTAACAAATATAAATTTGTTCTCTACAATAGATGAGAACACAATGAAAGCACAACTCAAAGTTACAATCTCTCACCACCCAACTATACTATGTATGAAAGATACAATAAGCTCAATGTGGGTGTGTGTGTAACA